AAGTAAAATAAAAATAAAAACAAATAATTAAAATAAGTAAAAAAACAAACAAACAAAAAAAGGTAAAATGTGATAAAAGAATAAAGAAGAAGAGAAAAACATAATAGTTCAATCTGTCGGACGCAGCACAGTGCTCATTCAGTAAAGGCACAGCTAAACAGGTGTGTTTTCAGTCAAGTGAAGTTTCACAAACTAATTTAGAGAGGAGCACGTGATATGATCGACCACAGATGATCCTTATCACTAATCATTAGCTAGCCTATCAGATCATTATAAAACTACTATAAATATCCTGCCTAAACTTTATTCCATATCTTCGTTTTTGGAACCCCCCTCTATCCTTGCCTTCTCCCTCCTCCTCTTTTCATGATCGGGCCACACGGTGGTTCAGTGGCTAGCGCTGCTGCCTCACAACAAGAGGGCCACAGGTTCAAGTTCTAATCGAGTAAGTCAGCACTCCCTGCGCATAGTTTGCATGTTCTCCCCGTGTTCGTGTGGGTTTTCCCCAGGTCCTTTGGTTTCCTCCCACAGTTTAAAACATGCACATAAATGAAATGTAATAAGTCACAAGCACTTAACACATTCACATTGAATCAATCAGCACCACAATATTAGCCAAAGTTCAAAAGTGGGAACTCGAGAAACACCTGATCTCATATCCCTCCTAATGCTCATTGACCAGGCGGGAACATTGGGCTCATCTTTCTCCGAGCTTAGGGTTCTCTCCCTGGACAGCACGCCAAACCTGCTGTCATAGTTGAGCATTATCTGAGTGTGAACTCTTGAAACAGATTTTTACAAAAGCGCTGCATTTTCTCACAACACAAACAATTTACGAAAATATGATGGACCCAGCTATTTAATTTATGGTCATTTAGCCTTATAAACACCAAAAAGATTGGGACATTAAAATAAACAAACAAAAAAACGCACCATTGAAAGATCCCCTACAACTTTACTGAGCTATAGTCACAGCACTGATAGTCACTGATAATCCATTATGTTTTTGGCTCCCCTTGAAACATTTCCGTTGTGTTTCATTCTTTTTGAGTTGTGAGAAAATGTAGTGTTTCATTATTTTGTTTGCGTTGTGAGAAAATGCAGCACATTTTCTTATAAGTATGCATTTTGAGGATTTGCAGCACGTGTTGTCAAATGGATGAATGGATGATCTTTCCTTTATTTGCTGTAGTGTCTTTGTAATTGCATGTGTTTTCTTAAATTGCATTCGGTAAAGCTCTCTCGGCCACCATATTATTGTACTTAAAAGATTTACAGTTTAATACATTTCATTAATACATTTTTTAAATGTTAATCTATTTAACTATTATGCTTAAATTTTTTTATAAGAAATGTATTAGACCACCTGTGATGAGCAAACCAATACTTTAAAAATCTTTCAAATCAAACTTGATTCAAACTAAAATTGCATTGTACTGAAGCAACTAAATAGTCTTTATGAATTGATACACCCAAATTTTAACTGGCATATTAACATTCTTTTAGATTTTAGACATAAATCATGCATAACAATCAACCCTTATAACATATTTTATAATTTATTTTACTGAGGCCTGATAATAAATAACTGGTTAGTAATTATCTAAAATATTAAATATAAATAAAACAATTATTATTATTATTTTTAAATATTATTTTATTATAATTATTACTATTATAAAAAATAAATACATACATTTTGTGACATTTTAGGTGTCTTTATTGTCACTTCAGTGTGTTCTTTTATAAAATATTTCCAACTCGTCTATGCCATCATGAATGTTCAAAATGGAATTTGAGCTCTTTTTGGTGAAAATGAAACAAAAAAGCAAACACGCATTTACTCCATCTACTCTCATCTACTTGCATTTCCCTATAATACAGCATTAGTGCTATAAGTATGTGACTTTGTAAATAGGTGTTCTTTAGTGAACTTTATCTCAGTGTCACTCAGTAGCTCAGTCAGATGGTCTGAGGTCAGTCACTAAAAGCCCGGAAGTGAGACTCATATCTCAGCCACACTCCCCAGCTCCTCTGCGTCTTCTCTTCCAGAAGCACATGCAGCCAGATATGTGTCTGCGTATGGGTGGATGCACATGACATCACTGAGACAAATGTGTGTGTCCTGCGGTTACTATGAAGGCAGATGGTCACACATTCAAAGCCGGTGTGATCATATGAGAGACTTTAGCGTGACCAGTGCATGCCTAGCGGACCCAATAACTGACAGACGGAGCCAGAACACAGACTTCTGTCTACACACAGCTGATCACAAAGATAAACATATCAATGAGATTTTTTTTAGCATGTCACATGGATGTTGGTGCACAAGTTTAATATGCTTTGAGAAGAATTTAGAATGCAAACTGGTAAGATGACATTTAGAAGAGAATCTGGCTTTGTTTGGTGAAGAGTTGTCACAAGTATTGACTTTGGTACAAATCATCACTAAAATGAAAAAAAAAAAAGTACATTTCCTGCTGACACTTGAATACGATCAGCACTGTCCTAAACACTGCTGAATGGATGCTGTATTCATGTGCTCAACAAATATAATGGCCAGTCAGTGGTGTTTGAAGATTCCCTATTTTACCCCTTATTCAAGATTTAAGATAAGTCTGTTGTGTTTCCAGAATGTGTCTGTAATGTTTCAGTTCAAAACACCTATCAGATTATTTATTATACCTTTCGGAAGTTTGTGATTTTCAGCTCCTAGCTTCTTGTATGGTTGGTCGATGTCAACCAATTTGGCATCGTATGATGTCTTATGTGAAACATTGCGATGGACGATGGCATCATCATTGTAGTCGGCGGTGAATTAATTATTTATGAATAATTAATTCATTCATAACAAATTAATTATTTGTAGCCTACCGTTTCAAATACCTTTCCCGCATGGTCTTTGTTTTGCCCATAACCAATTCATAAAGAAATAAATATAAGTTAAACACAAATTACCACCTGTCAATAATTTTTTTTCTGTGGGACCCTGGTGTGAACATGCAGAGCGATCTGTGTCCTTATAATAGCGTTGACAAACTTGGTTGGTAAAAGAGGTGCACAACCAACAGGAACCAACCAATTGTATCTGATGTTTTCGCTAAAATTACTAAGTACAAGTGTGAAAGCGAAAGATTGAAGCAATGTACTGACGATGTGAGACATTACCTGATAGATTCAAAAGACAGAAGAGCAGTCAGATAGAGACAAGATTAATTAAATATCCTGTTTAACATATAGTGAAATGTGATCCAGCGTTACATCCTCGATAAACAGTCCGATGTGCACTGCTCTCAGGAGTTTTGTGTTCAAAGCACCCCATACTGACTGCCTGGAGCTCAGACGTGCACATATACTGCTGAAGTGCATGCCAGAGTGTGCGTGTGTGTGTGTGTGTGTGTGTGTGTGTGGTCACATGATGTGCATTTTCAGCGGTATAGTGTGGATGGAGAGTAGTTCAGAAATGCTAGGTGTGAACGAGTATCCTTTTGATTCTAAAATGATGATTGATGACCACAGAGAGCTGGTCAGTGGTCAGTTGCAATTATTAAATAGATGGGTGTGAAGGGTGATGTATACTTCTGCGTCAAGCGTACGGGTATGGCCCAGTACAGCCTTCGCATGACTGACGGCAACGCTGACGCATACCTCTCAAAAAAATATAACCATACTTCACAATGACGCATTACGCAAGCTCTGAGATTGGTTGGCTTGGTATCAGTGATGAGTGTGGGCGGTGCTGAGATTCGCACACCCATTGAAGCGAGTGCTTACAAGTGTCGAGTCCCACGAAGGAGCTCCAGATGGAAATTTTTGTTTTGTATTTACATTTATGATTAAAGTTGTTGAGTCACTCCAGCGGAATCAACCGTCAACTTATCCAGCACGTTTTATGCAGCGGATACCCTTCCAGCTGCAACCCATCTCTGGGAAACATCCATACACACTCAAACACTACAGACAATTTAGCCTACCCAATTCACCTCTACCGCATGTCTTTGGACTGTTGGATAAACCGGAGCACCAGGAGGAAACCCGCACAAACGCAGGGAGAACATGCAAACTCCGCACAAAGACGCCAACTGAGCCAGCTGAGGCTCAAACTAGCAACCTTCTTGCTGTGAGGTGAAAGCACTACCTACTGCACCATCGCATCGCCTAATTAGGAATTTTACAAAAGTTTTCTTAGTCTGACCTTTTGCTTCTGCATTGGAGTGGTGGTCCTTCTCTTTTGACGTCACTTTGATGGCTTCAGACACAAAATTCTTAACCATGCCCCTCTTACTGTTAGTTTGCTATATGGGAATGGTGTACAAACAGAAATCCTGCACCTACTCAATATCCTGTTTCAACTGGAATACATACTGAATTAAAGTCTCAGCAACTTCCTCCTAAATTTTTAAATCTGAAAGCCACAGGTCACAGTCTATAAGTAAAAAAGGTCAATTTCTACCTTTGTGTTCAGAAAACTCAATCACATGACAGTGAGTAAATATTGACAGAACTTTCATTCATGGGTCATTAATTTTTTCACATTCTGTAACTATGATTTTAGTTTATTATCTGCAGTTTTTCTCCACAGCTTCAATGTTTAGTAGTTTTTGAAATCAGGTGCACTAACTTTCTCAAACCTGTGGGTGGCACAAAGATCACCTGTGCGGTGCCGTGATCTTGTGATTTATGTAAGCTTGAATGTGTGTATGTGAACGGATTACTTTTTTCACTCTGGACTTTATCCACTACTTCCTGCCAAGCTGTGCCAGACGGACACACAATCACACTAATGGAATGAAGTTTATCAGGGAGAGATGAACTTTGACCTGAAAAGCCCAAACAAGACTCTGGGCAGGGTGAGGTTCATAACAGATGCTTAGCCTATCATGTGTACACAATTCCCACAAACGCACACTCAATTTTAATTGAACGCTGAATAGGAAGAAGATCAAGAGTGTCTTTTCCTGCTGCTGTAGAGGAAAGAATAAAAGCAAACTATGACCTACCACAGAGAGGACAAAGAGATGACTCTGTAGCAGGTAAACCAAGACATCTGCTGAAACATGGGATGAAACACTGTCATCCTTCTGAATTCTCTCTCTCTGTCTGTTTCATTCTGTCGCTCACTCTTTCTTTCTGGTATCAAAGCGACATTGCTTTGGCTAATCAGCTACTCCTTTGATCCCTGTCTGTCAGGACCCCTGGGGACTCTGGGTTGCCCTTTTATCTGCCTGACTACTGGGTCTTTTCAGAGAAGAGAGTGATAATCTGATTAACTGTAATACTTATACTAGAAAGAGAGAATGAGAGAGAGAGAGAGAGAGAGAGAGAGAGAGAGAGAGAGAGAGAGAGAGAGAGAGAGAGAGAGAGAGGAGATAGAAATACAGAAATAGTGTAATCCAGAAGCTGTTTGGGTGAATAGAGGTGTTGAGACTTCAAACTATGCAGCTATCTGAAGAAAATGATACAAAACAATTGCCTAAAATGAACAACAGTGAAGGAACGCTTGGTACTTTTTAAAACTGGATGAGCAACAATTATTCAATAAGCATAGACAAGCGCAAAGTCATTTAGATTCACATAAATACTGAGCCAAACTATTGCCGGAAAGTATAAGTGGCCTACTTTTACTGCTGTTTGTTTTCAGAGTAATTAGCTTGTAAGGACAAAGTTGTTCTACCTTCTCCAACCCCCCCAGCAAATCATCCACTTCCTCCTCCTGTTTGTGCCAAGAACACACTCAAACAGCTCACTTGGTCAGGCATTGGGATTTATTTTACTAAATATTTTCTAATTTCATGCACCACGGTGGCACAGTGTTAAGCACTGTCACCTCACAGCAAGAAAGTCTCTTGTTCGAGTCTCGGCTGGGCCAGTTGCCATTTCTGTGTGGAGTTTGCATGTTCTCCCTGTGTTCGTGTGGGTTTGCTTTGGGTGCAGTCCAAAGACGTGCTATAGGTGATGAACAAAATTGGCTGTAGTGTATGAATGTGTGTGTAATGGTGTTGTCACGAAACTGGAATTCAATGCAAATTGGTACTGAAATTTTAAAAACATCCATTTCCCGTACATGCAGTGGACATACAGTACAAGCGATCCGTTGATGAATTGCTGCTTTAAAATGTTCCAGTGTCCCTGTATTTGTGGTTACACGCAGTAAACAGGGGTGAGCTCAGTGAACCGATGACTTTCACGGCCAATCACAGTCATTTCAGTAGAGCATGTGAACATAACGGCAAATCAGGGCTGTTTAATAACGTGCTTCCCAGCACTCAAATGTTCCCGGGAAATAGACATTTTTTAAATTTCAGTACCGATTGAGTTCCAGTATCGTGACAACTGTAGCATGAGAATGTGCATGGGTGTTTCCCAGTACTGGGTTGCAGCTGGAAGGGCATCTGCTGTGTAAAACATGAGGTGGAACAGTTGGCGGTTCATTTCGCTGTGGCGACCTCTGAAAATCACAGACTAAGCCACAGGAAAATAAAATGAATGAATGAATGAATTTTCCCATTTCATTCTATTTTCAATTAAATAAAAGTTTTAATAATTTTCTAGTGTTTTGTTGTTTTATTAGTTGTAGTCTTATTTTATTGTCATTTTGATAATGTTATAGTTCTTAATTGTTTTAATATTTGTTTTTTAATATTTTAATATTAATTAAGATTAGTATTAATATTTGATATTTCAATTTAAACAACTACTATGAAGGATAAGTTATGTTTGTTTGGCAAGTTAAATTTGCACTTTTTAAATGCTATATTAGCTAGCTAAACAACAAGTCTGACCTAAACTTAGTCAAGAAATCCAAAAATTAGACAGCAGTTGCCAATTCTTTATGCTGTAAATTCACTTCTTTATTCACTTGTTAATAATTTCTCCAACAACTCAGGTTCCAAAAGATGTCAGTGGCTACCTGTTGGATTATTGGACTTTTTTGAGGTCAAAGAAAGTGAGCTGTGCCTGCCATCTTTTTATTATAAGTATTATAAGTATTATTTAGTATTGCCATACATTTATGGGTATATTATATGTACAGTATATGAAATCTCAATTAATTGAACATTTTACTCAATTACAATTAATGAGCGATTACTTTATTTTATTTTTCCCCTCATAGCTCACTGACAGGTTTTGTACAGTAAATATGCTGACATATTATAATTTCTGAATGAAAAGTAGATTACTTGATTTTGAAGGAACCACACACCATCTACTATCTATGATTAAACATCAGCGTTGAACAGCTGAAATTAAAGCACATGTTGCCTAAAACAAACAATCACTTTTTTCTTATAAAAAGTGAAAATAAATAACTTGCACTTTTGTAAACAAAATAAATATTTTTTATGTTTTTCATAGTAAAAGTAGAAAAGTATCTCTTCTGATCGAATTGATCGACTTGATCGAATATCAGTTCTGAATGTTGATTTTGATTACTTTTTGATTAATCGCCCAGCTCTATTATATATAACAAAGTCAAGCAAACTGAAAAATGTGGCAAATGCAAGCAATGAAGAACACAGACAAAGAGAGAGGAATAAACCGAACAGGTCTAGACCTGGCCTTAGATAGAATTTAGATAGGATATCCCTCCCAAGCAAGTGTTTTTAACGGTCACTTACTTTAAGGGTGTCCTTTGACGGAGTGCATGACAGATAGGAATGCACAAGATCCATTTCGTTGGAAAGGAAAAAGCTGTCTGAAATTATGAAAGAAAAACCGAAAACTATACTAACTAAGTAATTACTAAGCAACTGTTTAAAAGTACTTCATAAAAAGCATAAATATGTCTTGATATAAATGTGTGTCTGGATGCAGATTTAAGGTTGGGCCTATCTGATGTTTAGCAGGGTTCTGTTCAAGGCCTTGTGGCATTTATGTATATTTCAAGACAAAGCTTCTTTACGAGTGCTTTACAAAAAGGTAAAAATATTATAATTAGTGTTACTATTATGACTATTTACTACTGTTTTGTGTTTAAAAATGAACTAATTTACAGTAATAGCTTGTACTACCATTCAAAATGATAATATAATTTCAAATAAATAAACAACAAAGCATTTTAAGTTTTACTGTTGAATTTATTCACATTTTAATCTTTTTAATGCTCTATTCATTAGATCAAAAAACACAATAAAATGATATTAAATAAAAAATAAAAGCACTTCTCTAATAATAATAATAAATCTTTTATAAGACTATAAATGTCTTCACTAGAAATTGACTATGTAGCTTTTGTTCAGTTTTTGCTTCCTTTTGGAGCTTAACTCTACTGATGTTAAGTTGAACTCTACTTAAGGCTTAACTAAATTGAGTATTTGTCAGTTCTGTCTAATCTTTACAAACACATCAGCTGTCAGACAAGGTATTTTTACCTCATTCAGGACACATCTATATGGTCCCTGCCTCATTCTCCATCTGAAGGCCTTCATGTGTCAATGCACACCAACAACCACCATGGAAGACCAGAAACAGACAGCAACATTATTATCTGTTTCATCCTTAAAGAGATCTTTCCTGCCGATGTCTGCCCGTGACTACATTTTTGAACACCCAGGACCTTCAGTGACGTAATGTGGTGGTATCTGGAAAAAGAAAAAAAGACACACATACAGATAAATGTTAAGAGATATACAGTTACAGTTTCTTTATTTTAGACACTGTCATGCAACGGGAGAAGGTAAATTGCCCGGCATACAGATGGATTAGTTAAAATCACTGGGATTGTTACAGGATTAAGTCTGTTCTGGCATTTCCATTGTGTTAGTGGGCTGGCAGGGTTTGGGCCCATTCATCCAAAAATAACATATGGCTTTAAAAGGGGGGAGAAAATTACCCAGCCGAACGGCAAAAAGACGACAGAGGCATACTGACAGCTTTTTTAGATACAACTAATAACAGCTGACGCTTTGTGTAATTATGTTTTTGTTGTCATTTCTAATTTTCTAATTTTGACTTAATAATGACATACACGTAATCAAAGTCAAAAATCCACAACTCAATCTGCAAACACTGGCTTGTACACATAGCAGTATGACACACTACAGCTACAGTAAGCTTAGGTTTCACTCATTTCAGCCTGTGCACTGTAATTGCATGGTTGTGTTTCCCATCAACCAAACCATTTCCAAACTCAACTCTCATTAAATACAGTGGGAGGAAATGTTTGTGTCTGAATGTGATGTTTATGGGCTATATATGGAGAGATGGCCTCATCTACACAATAACACCACTGAAACTGAATTCTCTGGAAGTTTAGTAGGAAACATGGGATTTTAACAGGCAAAAGTTATTTCAGAGATAATGCTTTATGGCTTGGTTTGTCATTTCAAATGAATGATAAGAAACACAGAAATGCTTCCTAAAAGATTGTTTACAGTTTGGAAAAGGGGAAAGTGAGTGGAAATACTTTAGCTGCATAGAACCCTAATTTCCCATACCACAATGGAGTAAAAACTGATCCAATGGGGGTTTAAAAAAGCTCTAGTTGAAATAGCAGTTGCTGATGTGCTCTTATGTGAACATTAACATACACACTGATCTATTTATTGTTGACCAAAAGGGCCAGTTGTAAAGAGTGTAATAATTTTTTGAACTTACAAAGATTATTCATTCATGTTCCTTTTAATTTAATTTTATTAGGGGTCGCCACAGCGTAATGAACCGCCAACTATTCCGGCATATGTACCCAGTACTGGGAACTTACAAAGATTATTGGAGTACATACACTCACCGACCACTTTATTAGGTACACCTGTCTAACTGCTTATTAACGCAAATTTCTAATCAGTCAATCACATAGCAGCAACTCAACGCATTTAAACATGTTGACATGGTCAAGACGACTGCTGCAGTTCAAACTGAGCATCCAAATGGGGTAGAAAGGTGATTTAAGTGACTTTGAACGTGGCATGGTTGTTGGTGCCAGACAGACTGGTCTGAGTATTTCAGAAACTGCTGGTCTACTGGGATTTTCACACACAACCATCTCTAGGGTTTACAGAGAATGGTCCAAAGACAAAAGACAAAATATCCAGTGAGCGGCAGTTCTGTGGTGATTCCAGAGGTCATAGGAGAATGGCCAAAGCTTAAAGAAAGGCAACAGTAACTCGTTACAACTGAGGTATGCAGAAGAGCATCTCTGAACTCACAACACATCGAACCTTGAGGCAGACGGTAGCAGAAGACCACACCGGGTGCCTCTCCTGTCATCTGAGAACAAGAAACTGATGCTACAACTCGCACAGACTCA